AGGAATTCTATGTGTCTTGATGTTCCTACAAGGTGGAATTCCACCTATATGATGCTTAATACTGCATTATTATTTCAAAAGGTATTTGAAGCCTATGAAGATCATGACAGTTCATTTAAATCTGATTTGGGTAGAAGTATACCTGATTTCATGGATTGGGAATCCATTGAATTTTTGGTTAAGATTCTGAAATGTTTTTATGAAATGACTGTTAAGATTTCTGGTTCATTGTATGTGACTTCTAATACCTTCTGAGGTTTTTGATATGTCTTGCTTGTTGAAAAATATGGTGGAAACTACATAAGAAAGTGTTAAAGTGATGGGTAAAAATATGAGGACAAAAATTTGATAAGTATTGGGGTGAGCCTGAAAAAATGAATTTTTTGATATTCTATGCAAATATATTAGACCCCAGAGACAAAATTGAGTATATGTCCATTCAGTTTAACCAGTTATATGGCGAGCACAAGGGTAAATGAATGTTTGATAAGGTTATTGTTGGCCTTAAGGAGTTGTTTCAAGATTATGTTGCATATTTCCCTGTCCAGTCTGTTCCTGAACAATATGAGAAATCTTCTCCCTCAACCACAATATCTGATTCTGTTTCTGTTGGGAGACCTCAATCATTAGTGAAATCTCAGATTAAGAAGCAAAAATTGGAGAGTGGAGATTTGTCTAGGAAAAAAACTGAGTTGGAAGTGTATCTCTCTGAGGTTATTGTGGATGAGGATGATTCTTTTGACCTTCTAAGATGGTGGAAGCATCAATCTGATAGGTTCCCTGTCTTATCTAAAATGGCAAGGGATACTCTAGCTGTTCCAATCTCTACTGTTGCTTCAGAATCAGCATTCAGTACCAGTGGAAGGGTACTAGATGCCTTTAGGAGTTCCCTAACTCTTAAAATTGTTGAGACACTTGTGTGTGCACAGCCGCACAAGATTGGCTAAGGTTAGCCAATTAACCTATCTCTGTTGAAGAAAACATTGATGATGTTGAAAGGATTGAGAAAGGTATATACTTTAACATTTTACATTTTTACCTTGTCTGTTTAGTTGTTTATAATAACCATTACATAGAAGATTTTAAGTTTTAACTTCCACTTTTGTATTTGTTTTACAGAGTTGTGCATCACATCTAGCACTAGAGTTGGATCTTCACTGCCTACAATTCTTGTATGTTTACATATTTATTCTGCTTTTATGAATTCTAATTCTGAATTTCTGATTACTTATTTGATTTCTTGATAAATTTATGACTCTCTGTATCAGTGTATCATGTATGTGTAGATTCAAATCAATGTCCCTCATGAGGCTGGGAACTGGAAAAGTGGAAAGTGCTCATGGTTAGGTGACATTTTAAATGTTACTGCCATTGAACTCAGGTATCAATATAAGTATTCACTGTTCAGTAGTGATTTCTTCTGAGTTCTGACTACTGAGTAGGTATCAGTATAAGTGTATAACTGTATAAGTATTCACTATTTAGTACAAGTATTATTGTGCAATGATGGTGCTTCCACCATGTTCTCTGAATATATAGAATTGGGTTTGGTATGTCACCTATGAAGTGTGGTGTTTATGCCATACTCATGGAGTAGTGTGCCCCCAATCCTAACTTGATATGGAAGAAAAGCTATCTGAGCACTCTTTGATCTATAATCCATTAACTCAAATACTCAATCAATTGTTCCAGTATAAGTGTTATTGTGCAATGGTGATGCTTCCACCATGTTCTCTAAATATATAGAATTGGGTTTGATATGTTGCCTATGAAGTGTGGTGTTTATGTCATACTCATTGAGTAGTGTGCCCCCAATTCTAACTTGATCCATACTCATTGAGTAGTGTGCCATACTCTTTAGTCTATAATCCATTAACTCAATCAATTGTTCTAATATTCAATGTCACAATGCATTGCATTAAATTATGACATTATGCAATGTTTTGAACTTATTATGTTTTTATGTTATCACTTATCGGGAAGAAGAATAGACTACTCAATAGTTAATATTAGATAATTATATATTCATATGTTAGTTGTATATTGGGTATTTGAAGTTTTGGATTTCTGGTTTTCTTTTGCTGAATGGATCATGGCTGAATGGCTGAATGGCTGAATGCCGAGTGCTGACTGACTGAAATGCTGAATGCTAAATTGTTGCTGCTTGGAGATTGGAGAATGATGATGAATCAGTGATTGCTAATGCTAACACATGCTTATATTTTGCTTTGAAGTTCTAACTCAAAGTTTTAAATTTAAAACCTAATCTGTGAATTTATATGTTTTGAACTTTGAGTTCTAACTTCTAAGTTGTATATTTCGGAAATTACACTTTGGTCCTATGACTATAGGGGAGGTGGTAATTTCAGTTCGTGACTTTTAAAACTAACAGATTTAGTCCTTTTAGTATGCTTTTTTTTACACATTAAGTCCTTCCGGCTAATTTGCCGGTAGATTTTCGCCGGAATTTCAATTTCATTTCATTATTAATTTTTTGGGGGGTAAAAGCGTCACATTTAGTCTGAGAAGCTCACCATCATATCATCTCATCTGCTCCCACTAAACAAAGTATCTTAGCTTCATTCAATGGAGGGCCCTGCAACCTATGCAGTAGCATGGCTATCCACCATTGCACTTATCCTCCTTGCCAAACATCTCCGCCGGAGAAAGCTTCATCTACCCCCGGGTCCTAAGCCATGGCCCATCATCGGAAACTTGAACCTCATCGGCACCCTCCCTCACCGTTCCATCCATGATTTGTCGCAGAAATACGGCCCCATCATGCAGTTGCAGTTTGGATCCTTCCCGGTGGTCGTCGGATCGTCTGTTGAAATGGCCAAGACTTTCCTCAAAACCATGGACATCAACTTCGTTGGCAGGTTAGAATTTATACCCGATAATTTCCTGGAAAAATGACACATATTCTGACCAATCTGTTCATTTGTAATCTGTTCTCGATACTTGAGAGCCGACCAGCAGTCGTAGTGGTATACGAGGACGGCGCTCATCCACACCCGGGCGTCTTTGATCTTGCCGCTCGTCAGGGCACCGCCCACAAATTCCATACGACGCTCCACGTACTCGTAGAGCTCAAGACACGTCTTCGGCGCGTCGGATCGATTCTTGTTGCCGGAGGACTCGGCCAAGATGTTGTTCACCATGGACTCCGCCTGCTTCACGTTCTCGGAAGAGACCCGCATATCTAATGGGCCCAATCATCATATCTGTGATTTGTTAATTTGGGTTGGTAGTTCATGGCGTTCGGAGCTCACGAATACCCCACGACACCGGGATTTTTCGAAGGCCAGCCGAAGAGGAAGAGAAAGAAGAAGAAATGACTTGGAAATGACCAATTTGTCCTCATAGTTAAATAATAAAAAAATGATTTATATTTTTCCAGTGACTTTTGGCCTGTGATTTGGCCGGAAGGACTTAATGTGTAAAAAAAAGAATACTAAAAGGACTAAATCTGTTAGTTTTAAAAGTCACGAACTAAAATTACCACCTCCCATATAGTCATAGGACCAAAAGTGTAATTTTCTCATTTGTTTATATGTTTTGTAAGTTTACTTAAACTTAACTCTTAAGTCGTTAAGTGTTCAAGTTTTGATGTTTCAACTTTCAGTGTTTCAACGAAACTGTGAAACATGTAAAAAATTGTTTATTTTGAAGTACAATTTTTAATTTCCAATGTTTTTTATTTTTTTTTGGAAAACCGAACTAATCCGACGGATAAATTGGATATTCGTCGAACTAATTCGGACAATTATCTGACGAATAATTGTCCAAAATTGAACAGACAGGATGTCCTGAAGCAAAAATCAAAATCCGAACGGGGTGATTTTCCGTCACCCCAATATGTCCGAACCCGTCCGACGCTCACCCCTAGGCATCAAGGAACGATTTACTTCTTTTATTATTGTTGTTGTTATATTTATTATTAAAAAAAAAAATCAAACGATACTCTTGGTTCGGTTCGATTTTTACCAAACCGTTCAGTTCAAATCAATTTTTAACCGAACCATTTGATTTACAAGAATCTTGAACCGTTTGATTTTTTGATATATTACTAGTTCGATTTAGTTATGAAAAACCGAACCGAATTGTCCACCCATATTTAGAGTTCGCTCAAAAATTTTTAAAATGATTTTTAAAATTTATTTTTGGAATTTTTCATTATTTGACTATTAGCAAAAAATAAAATCAATGAAAAATGATTTATTTTGATAAAAACATTTTTCTAGATTTTTTACTCAGAAGATATTTTCTAAATTCCTATCTCACTCAATTATTTCTCTTTCTTTAAGTGGTGTCAAATCGGTAAGTTGGTCATCCATCTATTTAGTTATGCTTTGAACTAAACTAAGCTAGTCTAATTAAGGGGGCATTTGGTTTGAACATGAATAAAAATTGGAATAAGAATAAAATATTTGATGATAATAAAAATGACTTTTGGTAAAATTATTGGGGAGTAGGGGCTTGGTGATTAATATTTTAGAGATGGACCCGGAGCAAACTAACCCGTTAGAGCGGAACAAGATAAACTCAGTTGAAACCCAAAACAAACCAACCCAATAGAGCAAAACAAGATGGGTTCAATTGCACCCAAGGCTCCCGGGTAGGCCCCCACCGCCTCGACCACTGGTACTAGGCAAGGGTCCGAGGTCGGGAGTGGTCCTAATTGTTACAACTAACTCTCTCTTTTGGGGGAACGATTAGAAAGCAATTAGTATAAATACCCATGTAATTATCTTGTTAAGACATCATTTATTCTCTTATAATAGTATTACACAAACATTAATACAATATCAATCACTGTGACATACATTTCTTGTCCTTATCACTTCTCATTTACCGTATTCATTCATTCCTTTAATTAATTGGGTTATTTAATACGGGTTACCCGAGCCAATTTAATCCATTAGATATAATAATTAAAAAATAAGTAAATTGTTTTGAACAACTTTTTAAATTTTGACATTTTGGATCAATGCTGTTACAAAAAACTGATTAAACAAGCACTCATATTGGTTGTTTAACCAAGTCAAACAACTAATAATAGTCAAACAAGTCAAAATTAACTGAGAAGCTAACATAGTTAGCTAACAAGGCCACTATGTTTTAAACTTGTTAGTATGTACAAGCATTATTATTAACTACTCCGTATTTGTTTCAACAATTAACAGTTCAAACCCTTAATTAGAAACTAAAAAGAAAGTTGAGACTTCACTATGTTTGAAAACAAAATTTGATTATTAGAATTTTAGGACAATATATATAACAAGTATATACCTATAGAGTAAAACTTTCACTGCATGTCCTGATTGTATTGAAAGGAAGGAAAAAAGAAAGAAATAAAAAATGACTCACATTTTTACTAGATCAATTATAATATACTATATCAATAAAGAGAGAAAAATAAAAGTACATGTAATATTCATCGTTAAGCAATATTCTCTCAAGCCTCACATTGCTTAAGACTTGTCTACCAACTTCCAAAGTTATGTTATTCCTACTTACGCCATATTAATCTAAAACCCCATATTAAACCCCCAGAACCTTTGCTTAAGAGGCCCATGTTCCGACCGCTTACCTGTACACTCTACACATAAGGGGTCTTTGCAGGTTCCTAGTGGTTCACCATTCTAACATAACATGAAAATTGACTAAACTATCCCGAGTTAATCAAATAAAATCATGTAAGATGTTAAAAATTTTGATCCATATACGATAATTGTTATAATAAAACATGTATGGCTGTTACTTACAGGCTCATCAACCTGCAACTAATTACATGTGTTAGAAGTGTATGTGTGAGTGTAAGAAGAATACGCAAACCTTGATCAGGGCAACCGATTAAAACCCGGAAGAACTGCAACTGCAGAGAGCATGATCATCAATATAGGAAGGGCAGAATGGCAAAGCGATTTCTGGGGTAGTTGTCAAATTTATGCAGATACCATCTATGCGTTTCTGCAGCTGCCAAGACGAGATTTACCACCTATAGACAATGTAATTAATCACCTTAATTGCAAAAACAAAATATACTCCCTAATATATATGTATGCCTGAATCACATGTTTAATGTGTGTAAAGGATAAGCGTTTCTTTTTTTCTTTTTCAACTAGTACCACAAAACTGAAGAGTAGCCACACTGTGAGATCCAAACATCCACTTGCAACCACGAGACCACCGTATATAACCTTCAATACATGGAAAAACCAGTAATGATGTAAATTTTGTTGAGCATAATAAAATATAATATATAAACATAAATGTGCAATCCAACTATCAGCTTAAGCTTTTAGTTGAGATGGAGCACATGCTTCAATTTGGTATCAAAGCCCACCCCTTGCCAAAGGTCACGGGTTCGAATCTTTGCGTCACGCAGACTATGATCCACGTGTTGCTTGGAGCCCGTCAAAAATAACCGGCCCGCAAACATGAGGGGCATGTTGAACTAGGCTTTTAGTTGAGATGAAGCACGTACTGCAATTAATCAAATTAATATAGCATGTGCAAGCATGTTTTGGAAAAGTATTTCAAGCTGTTGATATGTAGACTAATAAAGAGTAAAGCAAAGCTAATGAATGAAAAGGATTTACTATCTCAGCCAGATAATGTGGAGACGAAACATATTCAAACCAATCACCATGAGGGATTATGTAATCATCAAATTGTTCTCTGTTCTTCCGCAATTTTCCCTAGTTCCATACAAGACAAAAATGAGACATTTTATAGGAATCAGTTTGGTCAAGCATCAAAATTCAAAGTTGGCAAGAAATTTTGATGTGCTTGAAAAGGTAGCGTTACACTAAATCCCCTTCTGCTCTATAAATCATACGAACGGAAAATCATGTTGAAAAGAAGAAAACAGACCAACAAATTGAATCCGAAAAGGAGAACGAAGAAAGGTTTGAATATTACCAAAATAGCATGGCAACAGTGCTGATGAATCCAACCCCAAAAGGAAATAGCTGCACCAACCCATGCATACCATCTTAGTTGCATCAGAGGGTTTACGAATTCCCACCAATCAAACTCGGCGACTTGAATTCTCTCTTTCCCTTTAACAATAAACTCTTGGACCAAACTCGCTATGAATTCCAAAACCTCCAGAGCAAAATTGCAGCAAAGCGATAAAGGAGCAGCTGTGTAGAAACTGGCATCATATCATGAAATAAAAATAAGATTTAGAAGGCGTCTCATTTCTTCTCATCTACAATAACAATCACCAATATAAAAGCTAAGCAGTCTTACAATAAGCCCACGAAATAGCCGAGAATGTGCATTCTGGCAGACGGACTGTATTTAAATACATATATTGACTCAAAAAGACGTCGCAATGCCTGGGTTTCCATTAGTAAAAGCAGAAAGACAGATAGCAGAACTTTGCTTCTATTTTCCTTTGATGAATTTGATGTATGCAGGGAAAGAATGTGTGAGCCTCCCGTCAAATCGCTTACAATGCTAGAAAAAAGTGATGACTCAGAGATTACTGTTGTAGTTGTATATGCATAAAGTGACATTGCAACCAGCAGAAGAGTGGTCCAAAGAGTAGCAAGAATGTAAAAATGACAGAAGAATTTCTGAGGAACAGTAAATTTCTGCACTTCAATAAAAAAAAAGTTTGTTAACAAGTTACTTAGCATAATGTTCACATCAAGCAAGATGGATTTTAAAAAAAAAAAAAAAAAAAAACGACTAGGAAACGAGATAAAAGGAACTATTTATCCGTACATGAAAAAACAATACTTTAAGCAAGGTAAATGCCCTGTTTGGTAAAATAGTTAGCTTATCAGCCAATTTTGACTTATTTGACTGCTATTAGCTGTTTGACTTGGTTAAAAAATCAATATGAGTGTTTGATTAATTAGCTTTTGTAACAACTTATTGCTCCAAAATGCTCAAATTCAAAAAGTTGCTCAAAGTAGCTTTTTCGATCAGCTTTTTGAGAAAATCATTTTGCATCTAATCAACTAATTTACCAAACACTTTTCTACAATCAGCTAATGCTATCAAGTAGTCAAACTCACTAACACAATCAGCTAACAGCTATTTACCAAACACTCCCAAAGTCTAATTCATCCATAAAAACAAAAATCAGTAAAAATAATATGAGGGCAAGTAACAGAAAGCTAAAGATGGGCACAAGGTCACCATTGAATAATCAATACCAAAGGTTCACAACAATCTGACAAAACTATTATTTTTTAATTTAATTCAAATTTTATCATAAATTAAAATGTTAATCACTTACATTATTAGAAGATTGCATGATCTTGCCTCTCTTAGCGAAACCCAGCAGGAATTCGTGAAAGCAACCAAGCTTAGAGGAAGGAATCAAGGCAATGAGAATGGGTATAATCGCTGCAACCCATGCTGCTCTCAACATGGTAACCAGCCCCAGCTCCATGGTGAAGGTAAAACCCTACTCAGTAGTACAACTATATATCCTATTAAGCAATATCTTCTCAGTCTACTATCAACTAACTCTGTGCTGGTCTGCCCAGCAATTACTCTGCAGTTGGAAGGGGAAAAAGTGTTCAAGTACTGAATTTCAACAGAATGTAAACAAGAAATGAGTTGAAACTTTCAGAAACAGTGAGAAAAGACGTATCAAAGATTTTGCATCCCCAACTTATGAGCTCAATTCTATTTTGATATGCCTCAAACTAATTGAGTTTTTTCTATAAATTGTATAAACTCGGCAATTCAGTGAAAAAATAAAGTTCATTACTTAAAATAAGGCAGAAACTGGCTTCATTATCCTTCATCATATTGAGATGCCAGAAGTCAATATTCACTAGTACAGAAACAGTCATTCGCGTCCAAAGTTAAGGCTAATTCGCGTCCAAAGTAGCTGGGACGCAGATGTCGGGGACGCTGATTGTATAAACAATCAGCGTCCAAAGTAACTTTGGACGCGAAAAATGATAATTCGCGTCCAAAGTTCAAGAACTTTGGACGCGAATTATCATTTTAAAAAACAAAATATTACCTTTGCGCGTCCAAAGTTCATGAACTTTGGACACGCAAAGGTAATGTTTTGATTTAAAAAATTATAATTCGCGTCCGTATAGTAAAAAAAAATTAAAAATTTTTTTTTTTATAAAACTACCAAATTTTATTTTCCTGTACATTCCAGCATAACTACCACATTTCCAACATAACTACCAAATAATATATTTCAACATTAATCAATTTAAGATGTATACTACACACCAATTCTATCAACTAAAACACACCAATCTAAAATTTCAATTCTAATAACATTTTACTAAAATAAACTAGAAATTCTACAAATAAACTGCCCAAATTCCTAAACATCTATCCATGGTTAATCTATATGCTGCAGCCCTAGTGAACTCAAAAGAAAATGATTAGAGTTAATACCACTCAAGGTCCCTCGAGCTAATGGTTGTTTTTGCAGTGGATATCTCTTTCTGCCATTCCTGTATTTCCTTTTCACAATCTTCTGATTTGGATTTCCACGCTACACAAAAATAGGACTTATAAATCCTTTGATGATTAAGTTTATTGAATTAAATTATTATAACAGTTCAGGAAAAAAAAAAGTATAAACAGAATAAAAACTTTTTACATTCATTGCTTGAATCTATGCTCCTCAATCATTTTGTCATTCTAGAAAACTGCCGGTACGGAGTATTTAGTAAGGAGGAATTTCACTCATGTACCATTTATTTTGACTTAGATTTTTAACTTTTGAGCAGAGTGCCCGAGTCAAATAGACAAATAGTACTTTTGTAGTATCATAATATAATTGTGTTAGTTTTCAAAAACTGAATTTACCAATATGGCAATATCAAAACGTAAAGTGAAATTTGGTCAAATTAACTAAGAAAATAGCTAAAGTGACAGTGAATAATCTGTAGGGAGTATTTTTAGCATTATATACTAAAACGTAAAGTGAAATGCTCAACAACTGAAAGAAGAATATGCAAATATTATTACCATTATATTCAAGTTCTTCTTTGGGAAGAGGATAACTAACAGAACATACTGTAAGGTAAGATTGGTTGTATTGCAATGACCAAGAACACATGGAAAAACAAAGCAATTGAAGTCACAAACTGAAGGAAAAGAAGTTAACCTCATGTGTTTTTCCTGCTACAACACTTACTTCCTGGTATTCTTCATTTTTACTGCATTTTGAGTTGCTGATCGTCTTTAGAGTTGGTAATAGCTTGAAATAACTTTTTCAGCCTCCTTTGTGAGAACTGGTTGAAAATCTCTCTTCACAAAGTGGATACCTGTCAAAATGTCAAGTGAAGTGATGAATACCAGGTATAGAAGATTTCTCATTTTAACAAGTGACACATTTTGTATTTCTGAACCAGAATTGGCTTTCAAAGCATTTTACCGCCTAAGCATAGGAAGTGGCCAGATATCGTGCAGAATCTCCTCAGAATTGCAGCTCTTTGTTTGTGTTGGTTAAATTATGGAAAAAATGGGAATTCTCAATAGGATTCAGCTCTTTGTTTGTGTCTGCTAAGGAAACGACAATATGAAATGGAATGCAGAAAAAATTTGAAATGATGATAATTCTGGAAATTCATCTTGTAAGACGTGAAAGGCACAAATGCTCAGGACCAAAAGAAAAGATACGATGCTCAGGATCGTAATGTCCTTTATGATTTGTTGCACCAAAGACTATTGTCTTTGTACTCAGAGTTGTTACAAGACCAGCCTAGAATTGTCATAGAGAGGTCATGTTCATTGATCAATAACAAATATAAAAACAATAAATCTTTTTCCCTTTCAGGGGTGGGAAGATGGCATTCCCAAATAAAATTGGTTGTCATGTTAGATTTTAAAGGAAAAGTTCACAAGTGTCATAAAAATATAAAGAGATTCCAAGTTTTTTATACCATAAAAGCATCCTAAAGGAGATGGTTCTTTGTTGCTTGGGACATACCAATCAAAACGATAAAATCCAAATTGGATTGCATTATGGGAACAAAATTAAAGGTCATTCCAAAAAAGAACTTTTGTATGATTATTTACCTTGGCAACACTAATAGTTTGCTGCTCTATAGCTTCATGGATGGTCACCCTATCATGTTCCTTCATGCTATCAAAAAGCACATCATTAGGTTGACATATAAAAATATGTACTATAACATGTGATTAGTTCAGTGAACCTACTGTCAAAGTGCATTTGCTAAATAAAAACATGGAATAAGGTTCAAATTGGCCACTGAACGTAACCTGAAAATGCAATTAGGCCACTGAACGAACAAAAAGTGCAATTAGGCCACTGAACACTTCAAAAACGTGCAATTAGGCCACTGAACTCTCCAAACGTATGCAATTTCACCGGATAACAGGTTACCATCAATTTTAGCAGGTTACCTGCTTACGTGGCAGCTGATGTGGCATTTTTAATAATTTTTAAATAATTTTTAATAACTAATTTTAATAATTAATTTTATAAAAAATTTTATAAAAAATTGAAAAAAAAATTAAATAAAAAATAAAATAAAGTCGTTTTTTTTTTTTAAATTTGTTTAAATAAAAATTTATTATTAAAATTTATTAAAAATGATTTAAAATTTATTAAAAATGCCAACTCAGCTGCCACGTAAGTAGATAACCTGCTAAAATTGAGGGTAACCTGCTATCAGGTGAAATTGCACATTTTTGGAGTGTTCAGTGGCCTAATTGCACTTTTTTTTTGTTCAGTGGCCTAATTGCATTTTCAGGTTACGTTCAGTGGCCAATTTGAACCTTATTCCTAAAAACATTTCTCTTGAAAAATCATGAATTGTCTATTATAGACAAGGGCATTGTAGTCCAATGCATTAGAGCAAGATTCTAACAAGAGCTGTCAGGTTCAATCCCAATGCACCAAAAACAATGAATTGTCCATAACATGTGTGGTTCCCTCATGAGTTTACCTATCAAATTCATCAATGCAACAAAGACCACCATCAGCTGATACAAGAGCACCAGCTTCCAGAATCCACTCCCCTAAAAGCACTTAATAAGTGTTAGCTCAATCCAACCTCTAAATAATAATTGAAGTGAGAAATGTTATACCCCCATCTCTAACTGCAGTAACAGTTAACCCATCACTTGTGCTTCCCAACCCTGTAGCAATTACAGCTCTATTGCTCAATTTTGCAGCAAACTTCAAAAATTGTGACTTCCCAGTACCTGATTGAATTACAAAGACAAAAGTATATTTAGAGCATTATTCAGCCGATAGCCTGGTATTATGGACCAATAATTTTCAAAACAAAGTAAAATTCGTTCTAAATATTATGTTAACCATTTAATCATTTTAAAATAGTAGTCACAAGAAGATACTCTGATATTCAAGCATAAAATATGAGAAGTTACCAGGATCACCAACAAGAAGCAAATGAGAATCCCCCCTTACTTTTGTTCCAGAAGCATCAATATGTGCAACTCCTCCAATAAGTGTCAATGTGACTATATAAAAATGAACTCCATCAAAATGGCATGTAAAAAGGTTTGAGAGTTCTCAACTGAAGAAACACTGAGAAAACTACTACTAAGATTAAATGCAACTATATCTTGTTATAAGTTTATTCACATGGCATGTGATTGCTGATAATATCAATCTCATGATTTGACTGTACCTAGGTTAAATTAAATTAAGAAGAGCCAACAACAACAAGAATATAACATGCAAGCTTGACAGTGAAAAGTCCAAAGACCAATGGGCAAACACCCCTAAGAATGGCATTCCTACCTAATTTTCACAACAGTTTTAAAAAATAAGAGCAGTTACAACCATTATAAATTATGACAATAAACTTGAAACTTTAAGCTCGAGTGGGTTTACCTTTTAAAGGGGAACCCTCAAAATCTTGCCAAAACTGTTTGAATTTCAGGATAATGTCATCATGAATGTCTATTTATGACTTTAATTCATTTATTCTCCTGGAAATGTAACGGAAAAAAAAAAATTCAGAAGAGAAAACTAGTTAATCTAGATAACAGTTTCACTTTGTCCATTCAAATTTCTCAGTACTCTTGGAACATGGCAGTAAATAATCTATATCTTTACAAATTGCAATATAGAAAGACTAAATGTTTGCAGTAGTCATTTCATTAGTAGACTAAAGATGGATGGAGCTAAAATATTTATAAGTAGAGCACTTAGTCTATTCTCAATCCTTTTTTGCCTTGACATTTGAATACTCGTGATAGAGATACTAACAGTGGCTAATTTTATATAATTAAAAGACTAATAAAGGCTAACTTTTTTGCCCATTAATTGTCCCTCAACTATGCAATAATCCCTCTGTGAAGCAAAACCAAGTGTAAGAGCATTCAGAAAGCACATAATAATCAACCTGTATTTACATCTCCGACATTGGTACCACTTTCCCCATTCTATCATTTTTGCAACCCCAGACCTAATTACAGTCCCTTAGAGGGTAAGAAGAATCCCTCGATGCTTCACCCTCACCCGGCCAATGCTTGGAAAAGTTTTGACAGGAATAACAAACGATGGAAGATCAAAGCTAAGTTTATTGGTGCGTTTGGCGACGTTTTCCAAGAGAGTTTGGAGGAGTTTCAATGTTTATCGCCTTGGTATTCAAAGGACGTACCTTGCGGCGACCGGTGAGAATGTCGGCAACCGGTGAGCTTGCGGCAATGGGCGACGGGCGAGACCGGCGGCGACCAGCGAACGGCGATGGCAGCAGAGAATAGCGCAGCAGCGACGAGAGTAGCAGAGAAGACGATGGAGGCGAGCGGCGAGCGAATGACGATGGACGACCGGCGGAGTGGAGATGGAGAAGTAGAGAACGGCGACTGTGGGCGGTTTAGTTCAGAATAGAGAAGAAGGCAGAGACGGGGAGAAGACGAGGTTGGGGGCGATTTTGTTCAGAAAAACCCTAGCGTTTATTATTTGCGTCAAAAAAGTAAAATAAAATAAATAGTGATATTTTAATTACAAAAATGACTTTAGGCATATAATAGGCGTCAACTTTGGACGCCTATTCTTTTTAATTTCAGAAAAAATAATAAAAAATTATATAGTGACATTTTAATTACAAAAATGTCACTGCACTACACTTTAAGCGTCTAAAGTTCTAAGTTTGGACGCGAATTATTCAGTTTTATTGATATTTTTTGTACTAGTGATTCCAGATGAATTGCTAATATGGTCTTTTCAATTAGTCTTAAGACCTTGTACATGCAAGCATACAAGATCGATATAGCATTGCAAGTATTAGGGTGTAATACCCACAGGGAAGTGCAGCAATTGTTTTATCCTAATTGAGCTACCTGAATTACTCTAAAGAAATTTGATTGAATATTTTGATTTCAGCAAAAACTAAAGATTAGCTAATGACTATACTCTAAACTATGCCAATGACCTTGTGGTCTAGGGGCACGAAGTGGCTCTCCCAAATGGGTTCAATCCTCAGTGGATGCGGTATTGACTCTTTGTGCTTCAATAGGTTGAGAAAATAGCTTATGAACAGATACTACATTGTAACATAGTTAGTAGTACTCAAAAAAGCTAATGACTATCTAATGCAAATTAACTAAAGAGTTCAATCAAGCTAAGCCTAGGACCTTGAACCCACGACTAATCTCACAAGTCAGAACAACAGATTTATTTGTGCCAGGAATGTATATGTATATATTGAATTTTATGAGGTGCTCTGGCTATAGGGATAGCAACGGGGCGGGGCGGGGAATGGGGTCCCGTCCCCGTCCCCGAAATTTCTCCTCATTCCCCGTCCCCGCGGGGATTTTTCGGGGACGGGGAATTCCCGTCCCGTTTTTCATTTATGCCTTAAAAAAAAAAAAAAAAAAAAAAAAAAAAACGAAACTAGGCAGTAACATATCATTATGTTTGATATCTATGCTAATTGTATTTTAAACGAAACTAGGAAGTAACATATAACAAGTAACTAATTAAACCAAACTAAGCAGTAACTAGTAAGGCAGAAGAAAGTAAGAAACTAATTAAACTAATTAGAAGATTAAACTAATTAAACTATAGAAGAAACTAATTAAACTAAAGAAGAAACTAATTAAACTGCAGAAGAAACTAATTAGAAGATTAAACTAATTAAACTACAGAAGAAAGTCAAGAAACTACCTACCGACGGAGTCACACCGCACACGACCACGGACGGTGGACTGTGGACCTACTGCGGCCAGAGACAGAGAGGCACACCGCAAACGAAGGACGAGCAGGTGAGCGGTAGATCTTCTGCGGACGGCGGGCAACCGACTTGGTCGACGGCAAAGGAGAGGAGGGCAGGGTCGGCAGTCGGCTCACGGAGTAGAAATGTAGAAATGAGAAAGGACTGAGGACTTTGGGTCTTGGGCAATCTGCTAGGGTTAACTGGTTAAGTCAATATTAGTTTTAAAATTTTATTATTAATATTATACATATATTATATATTATAAAGTTAATAATATTATATATATATATATATATATATATATATATATATATATATATATATATATATATATATATATATATATATATATATATATATGTATATATATATATATATTAATTTAATGGGGACGGGGTAGGGATCGGGGTCGGTGCGAGGAATGCATTCCCTGTCCCTGTCCCCAACGGGGATTGAGAAATTCCTCCCATCCCCGTCCCCGTTTCCCGAAAAAATCTCCGAACCCGTCTCATCGAGGCAGGAATCGATTTTTCCCATCGAAGCGGGTTAAATTGCCATCCTTATTGGCTATATGCTTAGAATTAATGTAGTTTTGTGAAATACGGACTAAAAATTAGTGACATAATTCGGCTACTCAAGCATGAACTATTCAATTTTTTTGATACACTTGAACTAAAGATATGTTAGGGATATAATTAGAAACATAACTCATCTACTACTTGTATGAACTAATTAATTAGTGTCATAATCCATCTAGCATTAGCATGGACTACACAAGCTGAGAAGCTTAACTTAATTCATCAAATGCTAGTACAAATTATTCACCTTTTCAACTAACCTATTGCATAACCCCTATTGATTCAATTCAACCAATCAATTAGTTTCATGATAATAGTTGACAGATTTCAACACATTTACAAACTACAATTTAACATTCAACATATGAAAATGCATTCAAATAAAATTCAATTCACATTCTAATGAAAATAACCACAGTGCTGAAGAATCCAACCCCAAAAGAAAATAGTTGCACCAACTCATGCATACCATCTTAGTTGCATCAGAGGGTTTACGAATTCCCACCAATCAAACTCGGCGACTTGAATTCTCTCTTTCCCTTTAACAATAAACTCTTGGACCAAACTCGCTATGAATTCCAAAACCTCCAGAGCAAAATTGCAGCAAAGCGATAAAGGAGCAGCTGTGTAGAAACTGGCATCAAATCATGAAATAAAAATAAGATTTAGAAGGCGTCTCATTTCTTCTCATCTACAATAACAATCACCAATATAAAAGCTAGGCAGTCTTACAATAAGCCCATGAAGTAGCCAAGAATGTGCATTATGGCAGACGGACTGTATTTAAATACATATATTGACTCAAAAAGATGTCGCAATGCCTGGGTTTCCATTAGTAAAAGCAGAAAGACAGATAGCAGAACTTTGCTTCTATTTTCCTTTGATGAATTTGATGTATGCAGGGAAAGAATGTGTGAGCCTCCCGTCAAATCGCTTACAATGCTAGAAAAAAGTGATGACTCAAGGATTACTGTTGTAGTCGTATATGCATAAAGTGACATTGCAACCAGCAGAAGAGTGGTCCAAAGAGTAGCAAGAATATAAAAATGACAGAAGAATTTCCGAGGAACAGTAAATTTCTGCACTTCAATAAAAAAAGTTTGTTAACAAGTTACTTAGCATAATGTTCACATCAAGCAAGATGGATTTAAAAAAAAAAACGAACTACGAAACGAGATAAAAGGAACTATTTATCCGTACATGAAAAAACAATACTTTAAGCAAGGTAAAGTTTAATTCATCCATAAAAACAAAAATTCAGTAAAAAAAAAATTATATTCGGGCAAGTAACAGAAAGCTAAAGATGGGCACAAGGTCACCATTGAATAATCAATACCAAAGGTTCACAACAATCTGACTAAACATTTTTTTTAAATTTAATTCAAATTTTATTGTAAATTAAAATGTCAATCACTTACATTGTTAGAAGATAGCATGATCTTGTCTCTCTTAGCGAAACCCAGCAGGAATTCGTGAAAGCAACGAAGCTTAGAGGAAGGAATCAAGGCAATGAGAATGGGTATAATCGCTGCAACCCATGCTGCTCTCAACATGGTAACCAGCCCCAGCTCCATGGTGAAGGTAAAACCCTACTATATATCCTATTAAGCAATATCTTCTCAGTCTACTATCAACTAACTCTGCCCAACAATTACTCTGCAGTTGGAAGGGGAAGAAGTGTTCAAGTACTGAATTTCAACAAGAAATGAGTTGAAACAGTGAGAGAAAAGACGTATCAAAGATTTTGCATCCCCAACTTACGAGCTCAATTCTATTTTTATATGTCTCAAAATAATTGAGTTTTAAACTGTACTTCAAAGAAACCTAATGCATAACCCCTATTGATTCAATTCAACCAATCAAATAGTTTCATGATAATAGTTGACAGATTTCAACACATTTACAAACTACAATTTAACATTCAACATATGGAAATGCATTCAAATAAAATTCAATTCACATTCTAATGAAAATAAATCACAGTTCCATTTGATTAAGGTTTCATCAAGATCCTACCACCAGTCCAATACCATAACAGTACTACTGCTGCGACCACAGTTTTATCCCTCGTCTCATTTTTTATATGCAAAACCATGGCTTCTGTTCTCCCATCGTCTTCTCCACAACAATCAACCAAATTATTGCAATTTGCAGAATAATAATATAAGATAATAAGCATTAACCCCGTTACCCGATAGATGCTTGCATTAACCCCTTTTATGACTTTCTTACAATAATTACATATGACATATTTATTTTTTGCATCCGTAGTCACTCCAAGATTTCCTGAACCACTGCCCGCACTACTCTTGTTTGAATGATTAACCATTTTTATAAACAATCAATCTACAAATAATTAATAATATTCAAACAAATTAATATTAAAAAAAAATTCCTAATGCCTACTGCCAAGTTAATATATATACACACAATAACAGTGGCACACTATATATAAAATATATACACACAATAACAGTGGCACTCCCTACCTACTGCCAAGTGGCACTCACTGCCTACTGCCTACTATATATAAGATATATACACACAATAACAGTATAACACAAAGCACAATATATATATATATATATATATATATATATATATATATATATATATATATATATATATATATATATATATATATATATACTCTGTAACAGCAGGCTAACAACATACCCAAAAAAAATGAAATAAACAAAAGAAGGCAGAAAACGAGGCACCTTAGGTCGCTGGAGGGGAGGTTGCGCCACAACTCACCCAGTCGGCAGTCGCAAGTCGCACGAGGAGGGTCGCTGGTTTGTGGTTTCATTTATTATTTTTAGACTTCTTCTCCTATTTTTAATCAAATTAGGGTTGGGTATATTTTTTATTGGGGTTGAGTGGGCTTTAAAACATAATTTAGGCTCTGAAATACTACTTGGGCTAAACAATTCACCTCATTTTTACACCAGGGCGTGTCTGAACGCAAATTATGCCGTGCAACCGAATGCACATTGCAAGGTGCATACGGTTGCAAAACGGCGCCGTTTTATTAAAAAACGACACGGCTCGCATAAAAAATAATTAGATGGCCGTTAACGGCGTTATTCATA